GTCCAATTCCTGTCAGTTGCATGAATTTAACTTTGAATAAAAGCATTTAAGCTGAATAGTGCTATAGTCTTGTAGTGGCTTATAACCATAAGCTTGTAAGATTGTTATGTGGGGATTTTTGTATGGTTTTGTGTATTCATCCCTACCTTATTTCTGTACTTTTTGGCATTGCCATCCTTACATCATACTTAATTATCGCAAAACTTGTTTTTAACTTTTCCCCCTCTATGTTTTAAACATCTTCATTGAAGTAGGTTGATAAGTAAACATTTGTTTTATTTTTATAGTTCAATGATAATATATACTGTTACTATTATATCAATTTTGTCAGTTTCTCTAATTTTGGATTACACTGGAGACCAGTAAAGCTGGAATAGTTCCTCCAGGATGATATAAGTACCCCAGAGTGCTGGACGAACATTAAGGGGATATTTACAGAACTCACCCCTTCCAACTTCACCTCAACTCGCTGCACATGCATACAATTGACTCCACCACATGCTAAGGTTGCGTCTATTAATAGGGAAGAAATCACATAGATCCCATGCCAAAAAGTACGATACCCTCATACACACACACAGCTGCCAGACCTGGCCCCACTGAAAATTTGAAGAAACATAGACTGCTATATAATGTAGTTTTGATAAGTGAGAAACTGTTATTTTTAAACTTAAAAATCGATAACGTATACAAAGATCTGTCAGTTGCATAAATACTTGGTCTCCTTCATACCTTGAATATTAATTTAGATTGTTCTTTCTTTATTTTTACTGAAATTGTTTTGGCAAATATCATATTTGTGCAATGAAAAGTCACAAACGGTAGTTATATAAGAACAATTTGTGCTGCCATCTAACAACCACAAATGTAACTGAACTGAACTCACTGCTAAGTAATAGTTTTCCTTTTTATTATTTCCCCACAAAAATACATGTGGTAGAAGAATAGAATAATATTAATGTTATACAACCTGTGAAACACATGATAATGACAATTAAGGCTATAAACTCAACTTTAGTTTTTACTTTAAGCATCATTGAATGCATTAGCCATTATTTTCTCAGCCCATACCTACATAATAAGCACTACCATGTAACATTACCATTGTTAGTGATTGCCTGTTCCCAAGTGCTCTAAAAATGCTTTTCTTTCATACTAAAACTATTGTGAAAACTTCAGTTATTTTTTTGGCTAGCATGGGAGGAGGAAAAAGAAAGATGAACACTTTGGCTCTTTAGCTAGTTCCCAGTTCTCCACTTTAGCAAAACTTTTCAATGATAACTCAACTTTATCAATTACTTGTAAGCATCATAGAATAATAGACTGAATGTGGTGGCCATATTCTTCTTGGCCCATCCCTACAAACTAAGCACTTGTGTGCTTAGTGATACCTATTCTGCTGTTAATTTCACCAAGTAACTGCTAGATATACAAGTTTTGAAATATTATAAATCTTTTTCAACCCAAAATGCATGATTCTTGAAAGACCAGGCTTTCAGTTCTATTATGACACAACTTTTGTTTTTTAATTTCATGCCATACCATGATAAGATATACACAAAACCTTATTTACTAGCTTATTCAATTACCAAATTAGAAAGCACAATGCTTATTAAATAACTGTAGCAATACAAATAGTAAATACACTGTAAAACTTTTTAAACATCCTTCTCTTTGAATGAACACCATTCATAAAATTAATGTTAAAACTTTTCTATAATTTCACAGTATAGTCTTGAATAAAGTTTAAATGATGTTCTTAGGAATCCTAAAAGTTTGGGTGTGTGTATCTGCCAACAGTCTCCATAGCTTTAGCCTCGTTTTTCTTACATGTGAAACTGCTAACCATATGTGTGTGTGTGTGCATATATATGTATATATGACACTGTGAATATAGCTTAAACACTTGTATATGACTAAGAATTATGATAGTCACAATTATCAGCAGAAACAGTTATTAGCCTCTTTCTCTTTTTAGGTCTAGTTTCTGTCTTTGAAAATATATTTTTTATTTTTTCCTTGCATTTGTATTTCAGGTTCCCAATTAAAAGACAGCTAGAAAACTTCTAACAAAAACTTGCTTCTTCAACAGGCACTTTTGTGAATAATTTTTCACATCAAAGCTGACTATAAAGGAACCTGAGTTGGAATCTTTGTTTTGTGACAAAATAAGAAACTTTTAGCAATAAAGGGAGCAACTTTCCAAGCCAGGAATTTTCCAAGATTACAGTTGTAAATTTAAAAGCAGAAACTATAGGACGTCAAGGAGTATTTGGTTTATGGATTCTTGGTAGGCCATATATCTCTGGTGTATGATGATCTGAAGGTTGTAAGAAATTTAACAAATCACTTGAAAGTTTTATCAGATTTGTTTAAATGTAATAATTTTAACCAGTATTCAGGTGTAAAATTATATTTATCTTAATTCTTCCTTAGCAAAACATAGTATTTTTTGAAAACTTAAAAGGTTTATCCGTAAACAAAACTTTAAGTTCCATGTTCTAAGTTCTTCCTTTAATTTAATTAACTTAGAACAGCTAAAAACAAAAGTTGAACTCTAGCACTTTCTTGTAGATAAACTCTTCTCAAAATTCACTAGAAAATATCCACACATATACATAACTTTCAATTTTGAGATAGCCTCAATCCTGCAGAACCTTGAGATTTGTCTTACACAAAGGAAAAAAATAGAAAATACTATGAATGAATATATGTCTTCACTTTCTTGATTATTTCTGAAATAATATATTTTATTATGTTTCAAATATTTTGACTGTTGAAATATATAAAAATTAAATTTTTGAAGCATTCGGTAACATTAGTTGTATTCGTTATGACTTTTAGGATAAAAACAAAAAATTAAATATTGAACATTTAAATAATATTCAGCATATGTATATCATTATACGATTACATTAAACATACCTGTATAAAATATGAATGTGAAAAAAATAGAGGGCTTATATATACGACTTACACACCTATTTCTGGAACACTGCCTGTTTAGAAGTATTCAAGTGATTATTCAAAATCATAAAGACCAAAAATTTACAATTAAAACTGAAGATTATTTCACAGGATAAATGTTTCTTTCTCACATTGTGAATGTGTTAATTAATAATGTCTTCTGTTGCTATTTTTTGATGAATATCTCTGTTTTTTGGAGAAATTTCCTCTTCTAAAAGAGTCTCCTTGTTTAGGTTTCATTCTTCTTTTGCTTTTCCAGTCTTTTCCCTTGATCCACTTGTCACGTTTGGACTCCCACAGTAATTGTTTGGCATCTAAAATAAAAATCATGTTTGGACATTCAACTCTTCAGCAGTGAAGCAAATTATATTCTTAAAACAAGGACACACACAATGCTAATTTTTTCAAACAATAGATGTGACTAAAGATTTTAATAAACAATGCAAAATAAATATAAAAGACATGCATTTTATAACAGAAAATAAAACTCAAATTTTAAACAATAAAATCCATAACAAAAACTTGTAAAATATGTAACTCACGAGCATTGTCCTTGTTGGCCATAGCTTCAGCTGTAGTAGAATCAACATTAGACCCTACATTTTCATCCAGAATATTGGAGAACTAGAGTGAGAAAATACATTTTTTAATTTTACTTGCACTGAACCTTTTTTGTGCTCATACCTTCATAAATTATGATGAAATTTAAAACCTGTATGAACTGACTTTTTTTTTTTATCACGCATTAAAATATTTTTCTTAGATACGAGAACAAATTTCCTCACTAATCTTAAAGGTGTAAAAGGTATTTGTATATATTACAAATGTACTAAGGTTATCTGCTGCCATCCCTAAATTTGAAATACAGTCAGTAGCACCCTACCACACACTGATTGGCATTCTTAAAATGCACCCACAATTCAAAGTGTGGGGAATATTTTGTGGTATTGCATAGATTCAAACCTGGTTCACCAGCTGTGAAATACAGAACTCTATCAGAGAGTGAACTTGCACCAGTGTGAAAGGGGTTTTGGTAATTAAATTTTATTTCATACTAGAATCAAGTTATTAAAATTTAGTTATGTTAGTTTATCAAATTAATTTGTAAAATCAATCCAAATCTTGATTTTTAAGAAATTTATATAAACATATTAAAAATACTACACATAAGTACAACTTCAGTGATTTAATTGCTCACGTTATCAATTCTGTTGTAATGTCTTAGGTCATAAAAAATTTCTGCTTACCTCTTCTGCATCAGCAAAAAGCTCAGATGTGTTAAAGCTGGAAAAAATACAAAATAAACCGGAATTCAAACCTTTATTCTTAACAGGTATGCATCTTCTAATCAACATAGTTTAGTTTTTAAAACTTGTGAAAATCTAAATGAAAAGCAGCAACTGAAATTTATGATTTTATGGAAATCTATATTGGAAGATTCTGTATGTTTTGCAAAACACAAGAATATTTGCTTTGTTATACCATAGAAAATTCTTTACTTATGTTTAATCATACTTAGCTGCTCTCCAGATAACCAGTTATTAGCATTTTAGTTTATTGATCTGAGGAGTCAAATATCAGACTTGTAATATTGTATGTAATTCATGTAGTTATAATTACAGTTACATATTATCTCTTAAGTTGTTTTAATTACATTAGTAGATTCCCATACACTGACATACGTGCACGTGAAGCTCTGGACTCGTACACTCACAGATACCTCACCCTACTTTTTTTCTCTAAGTCTGTTATCAAAACAAAAATTCATGTACCTTTCAAATATGTATTTTAAAACATAAACAATATACAGATCACTAAAATGCAATGTCCAAAAAACGACTATCATTTTCTAACTAAGCTATAAACAGGTTACAAAATTGTTAAAAACTATGTGGACCACTTTCACTTAACAACTGATCAATTTCTCTAGTTTAACATCAATTAGCATTAAATTGAAACAAGACTGTTGGAAGCTTTAACTAGAAAATCAGCTCTTTCTATAGGTTATATGGATGGGTGGGGCTTCTTTTGTGGATTGGGTTGTTGCTTGGTTTTTGTTAATCACAAAACTACACAATGGATATCTTATTTTTAGTGTCATAAGTCCAAAAACTTACTGCTGAGCCACTGAGGGCACCTGTGGGTTGAAAAATTTATTGATATCTCACTATACAGAGAAGAGAGCATTGAAACTATACAGTGGACAGAGGAATTATTTAAATATTGCATCTTAGTAACTCAGACAGTATAAATGTTATACTATTGAAGTAATGCAAACTAGTCATGTAACATATAAGTGAAAATTGAGAATTTTTTAAATTAACGAATTAAAATTTAAATAATATAACAATCTGAATTATATACTACACTCTGATGCTATCCTTATTGAAATACATTGATAATAAAGTTGTTTAACTCACTATAAGCTCGGTTGAACTGACTGAATTCACCATCCCAAATTGACCTTTACAGTTTCTATACTATAACTTCTAATATGTTTTGTGTATCTTCACAAAATTTTTGCAAGATTTCAGTAATCATTAAGATTTTTTTGTAGAGAAAAAAAAACACAGATTAATTAATAAAGAATTTCACTAAACATTTCTCCATGAATATATGGAATCAAAGTGTTGACTGTTCCGAGTGCAAAGTGATTTTCATGTCAAGATTAAAAATACTTTTCTTCATCTGAAAAAAATCTCAAATTTGATTGGCATAATCTCTGAAACTTCCTAAATAAACTTCTAACTTTTTTTTGGTAAAATTTTATATTTTATCTGATATATTCTCTACTCTAACTCTATACTAAATTGATCAATTGTACCGACAGTGTAGTCATAAAAAAATATTCAAAATAAATCTAAATTACCCTTTTTCTTTCTTTCTAGAATGACTTCAAATTGTAACATGAAACTACATATGATTATCTTAAAACTTGTAACAGTATACATCTTTTACACTTAAACTTTATTGTTTTATTACCATTTGAACCATGACAAACTGATATTTCTGCCACTAAATTTGTTAATCACTTGGCAAACTTGCAGCTCATGTTACCCTACCGAATTACATAATGCAAAAGCTACTTGCGAGTGTACCTTGGGTAAAATTTATTATTATTATTCTTTATTTTACCTAATCTAACTTAAAAAAGTTTCTAATTTTTATATTTTAGTTAATTTTGTAATAATTACTAAAGAATACACAAGAAAAACAAAAAAATAAAGTACTTACCTGGTTCATCATTTTTTTGCTATCGACTGTTGATGACACTTAACCCAATTTTTTTTATACTAATGGTACTACTGCACCAAGTAATTTATTTGATTAAACGATGCACCAAAGAACACAGAATAATAACATACCAAAAGCAGACAAGGTCCCATAACAATTACAATTTTTCTGACTTTCTAATTATGCAACAAGAACCTTTAAAAATTCAGTTAAGCTTGTTGATGTGTTTCCCGTGGGAATAAAGTTTGAACTGGAAGTGTAATAGACAATTCTCTATACAGAAAACAACAAAATATAGTATGTTCTTTAATAAATTAAAACCTTAGCTTTCTGCTGGTTATTAACTGGCAATTTCTGAAAGATGTGATTGTAACTAAATAAGATTGAAGGCTACAAAAATTATGTTTGCGTGAGCGATGACAACATTATAATGGTAATTCCCATTAAACTTCATACTTCTAGGAGGGGTGGTAAATAAATTAGAGTAGAGAGGATGCTCAGAGAGAGAAAATGTCAATTCTCATACTAGGAGAAATTCAGGATTATTTTTATACTGCTGTATAAAAATTTATATTATTAGCTACGTTTTTATACCACATTTATTCAAATATAATGATAAGAAAGTAGTTTAATTAAATTTTGAACGTTACTCTGTCAACTGTAAAACGTTGAGACTTGCAGATGAGCCAGGCCTGTGTTTAAAAGTTAAAGTCATATGTACGTGGTTGTTGTTTATATGAAGATATATTAATCAATTATATTATCATCAACTGTACATGGAATATAAAAAAAAATCACAAATTGAAAACATTGTTATGTATTTTTTGGAAACCTTTGATTATGAAAACTTGCCTCTTTGATTTATTTTTTCTTTTAGCTGTCCTCATGTTTGTGTCAATGTGTTTTCTTTTCCTGTTAGCAGGTTTCTTAAGTGAACTAGAAAATTCCATGAGATCTGGATCTAAATAAGAGAAAAACACAAAATCAACTTAGTCAGAAGTTACTGAAACATTTTTTTTTTCTTCTCTGAAGTCAACTATATTATTATTAATAAAGAAATATTAAATACAAAAATGTTTTGTACCATTTGACGCAACATAAAAACAAAAAAAAGAGATACCATTCTTTCAAATAACTATATTGCAAGGTTTCATGATGATTATTTAATCAAGTAATCCTTTACTCATTCTTCTTTTTCACTCTGTATAAGTTAAAAATGTGAGCAAAATATATATGTATTAAATGTTTTACCCACTAGTAACTGACAGTTTAAAAGATTTCTTGGTTAAAAACCCAACTATAAAACAAAAATGCCACATGAATAGAATTATTTATAATTGGAACAATGATGCCTTTCTTTTTCACAACACCAGTGTTTTCTAAAATATTATATAGATAATTTTACTTGCATTAAATGCAATGAAAATTCTAATGAACTTACCATCTTCAGAAAAGGCAGCATTTTCTTCATCAAACATATCTTCATCATATTCACCTTTATTATCTTCAAGGTCATCGTCAAATTCTTTAAATGCATTTTGGAAGTCTACATCATCATTAAAATCGAAATCTTCATTTTCCAAACTATCTAGATCATCATCATTTTTCATATCTTCATCTGAATTTTTCTTTTTTTTCGTATTACTTTTTTGTTTCTGTCTGTTCACTTCTTGAGCAAAGTCTATTTTACTTGTTTTGCCACCAGGCTCAAATTTTTCTAATACATATTTCTCAAACTCATCACTTGCAACACTTTCCACATCAGAGTCATCGTGCGCTTTTGATTTTTTAACACGGTGCTTACAGAAATACTCATAAAAGAACCTTTCTTCAACTGGAATATTTTTCTGTTTCTGTTGAAGATATCCTGCAGTATTTACTGGTAGTTTCTTTGCACTTTTTGGAACATAACAGGTCCGTCTTCCAAAAACTCTTTGTTGTTCATCTTTTTCAGTCTTTTCTGTCCCTTTCTTTGGGTTTCGATACACAAATCTATCTAAGAAACGAATAAGTGTGAAATCTTGAAGAGGATCTCCACTATAGTCAATGGATGAATTGTTGAGGATCTGCCTAGCAAACAGTGCAACCGAAGGATGAAAATGTTGAGATAATCTTAGAAGTTCCCAAAATGAACAATACTCTGCACCAGCAAATAATGGGTTCCTATGGCTGGAATCATAAACATTCTTAGCAACTTGCTCAGACGGTAGCAGTGATCTGTGAATCCATGAGGAAGGAGTCTTAGGAGGAACTTCCTTTTTGTTTGAATTTTCTTCTGTATCTTTAACAAAAGAGTTAAATGTTTCAGCTGGTTCTTCCTACCAAAGAGAGAGAGAATTCTGCTATGAACCACTTTGTTTTTCTTGCGCACTCAATTCTCATTTGTATAGTTTAACAATGCAACCAACTTAATGAATATGACTTGTGTATTTTGTAAAATTACCATGATGTCAGATATATTTAAACTTAAAATTTTAAAGTATATTTTCACTAAAGAACTTGTGTTATTTAAACAAAAATGTGAAAAAATGCAATTTATCTGAAATTAAAAACATCATAATTAAATGAATCTAGAACAAACAAAAAAATAGTAAAACAATGAATGACTTACTTCTGGTACATCTTCATAGTGTTCTTCTTCTTCATCATCCGATAAATGTTTTGGTTGCCCTTTTGAAGAGAGTAGTTCTGGACGGTGACGAAGCAACTCTGATATAAGAATTAACATACCACAAACTAGAGTTGGTGAATGGTACTGACAAACCTGGAAATTGCAAGAAAAAAGTTATCTATATAAAGATCCAATACACACTTATACTTTCTTCATTTTCAGATACTTTGAAGCAAGATTAAATTATAGATTCATCTTTTGAGGGCCAAATTCACTAGAACAATTTATTTCTGTAACACACACAGAAAACTTGTATTTTTAAACACTACACAGTAAAATTAAATATCATAAAACTCTACCAACATTAGGAGATATAGAAAAATTCACAGAGGAATGTGAAAATGGAAATATTGGTTCAATATCACTGCTGGTATTAAGTAATCAACTCATTCTGCTTAACAAGCTTATTGCTCTTCATGGCCATTTTATATTGCTACTATTATCTGATATGTGTGTTACACAGTGTAGAAATTACAGCATAAAAACAGATTCTGTTAAATGAAATAAATTAGATAAAATTCTATGTTTCAATTTGTATCTTATATGTAACTATTCTCCATGGATCATAAATTTAAAATGCTGCTAAAAACGTCACAAATTAAGTCTGGTTCAATACAAAGTTGTGACACACTGGATTTTAAATTTTCAATAAAAATATAGGTTTCCTGTTACTTTGGTTTGTCTCGCTCTTAGCAGAAGTACCAATCTGTAACAAGAAACACTGATCATAATAATAGTTGATAGTTTCCTAGTTTGTTATTATAAACTTTAACACTGATTGAATTAGAACTATTTTAGTTATTATTTTTATTGATGAAACTTAAGTCTTAAATTGTAATGCAATCTTGAAAGCATACACAAGTACATCTATCCTATGAAAGAAACAGTTACACAAAATAATATGCTTTTCTTATTGTAATAATTACATTTATTTTTACACTGACTTTTTATTTGCAAGACCCATATTGGTGATAAATAAAACAAAATAATTTGTCAGTGGAAAAAATGTGAAGTTATAACCTGCAAAAGACGTTTCATGAATGCTTTTGCTCGCTGGTCATGTGGATCTTTCTTCAGTGCTCTGTACAATAGATTCAAGAACATCGCTTGGTGAGATGAATGATGTAATTGAGGATCTAGAAGCTTACGATATAGGGCTGTGTAAAACCTATCTGTAATTTCTTCACGGGAATCCAAAACCTGCAGACATACACCAAGTTTGAAGATGTAAATTGTGATAATCATAAAATGAAAATAAAACTAACACGCTAGAACTGAAATAAGTTTATTTATAAATGTTATTTTACTTTTTGTACATTTTTATGTTAATCCTGTTATCATCATATCGAACTTTTGTAAAGTTGTTTTTTTTTTTTTTCATTTCTCATAGTCCTTGCGGACCGTTGAGCCGATGGCAGATTTTGCCCTGCCATCGTTTCTAAAGCTGCTTCTTACGTCAAGGATGCAACCCACTTGACAGCCTTCCCTCTTTGAAAGGGCGAGCACGTTTGGTGTGACAGGGATTCGAACCTGCGACCCTCAGATTGCAAGTCGAGTGCCTTAACCACCTGGCCATGCCAGGCCTTTGAAAAGTGTAAGTAATGCTAAATTATTAACAGCATCTTCTTTCCTTGAGTTTATCCAAACACAAATTTTAAATATCATATAAAACTATTACATTAAATTGGTTTCAAACTCTTTTAAGATTTTATTAAAATCATTTGAGTAAATCTATATAAACATACAGCAATAAAAAGTTTTTCAGATAATTCTATGAATACTGCTAATTTAAAAAGAAAAGGCTGCTAACCATGAAGTTTTTACTATAATTATTTGTAAACAAAAATTATCTGTTACATATGTGAAGAAATTCTTATACTGTTAAAAACTGAAATTTAAAATTTGCAACCATGAAATTATCATATACACATGTAGGATAAACATTCCACCAACAATGTAAGATTAAAGACCAACTCATGTTTACATCATTCATTCCACCAAGCAATGTAAGATTTGAGATCAACCCATACTTACATCATTCATTCCACTAAGCAATGTACGATTAAAGACCAACTCATGATTACATCATTCATTCCACCAAGCAATGTAAGATTTGAGATCAACCCATACTTACATCATTCATTCCACCAAGCAATGTAAGATTTGAGATCAACCCATACTTACATCATTCATTCCACTAAGCAATGTACGATTTGAGATCAACCCATACTTACATCATTCATTCCACAAAGCAATGGAAGATTTGGAATCAACCCATACTTACATCATTCATTCCACTAAGCAATGTACGATTTGAGATCAACCCATACTTACATCATTCATTCCACAAAGCAATGGAAGATTTGAGATCAACCCATACTTACATCATTCATTCCACAAAGCAATGGAAGATTTGGAATCAACCCATACTTACATCATTCATTCCACTAAGCAATGTAAGATTAAAGACCAACTCATGTTTACATCATTCATTCTGCCAAGCAATGTAAAATTTGAGATCAACTCATATTTATAAAATGTAGATTCTCTCTACTGGGTGATCATCTTTCTTAAAGTATAAAACTTCTTTTTTCCATATAATTAACCTTGCATAGTTTTGAAATGAAACTGCCTGCTCAGAAGTTTTATTAACTTTATTAATACAAGTGATTTTTATTATAAATATAATTTCTCATGCTCAAATAAAATTCACCTAAATTAAAAACATAAGCTGAAAAAAGCAACAGCAAACTTCTCAAGTTTCTGAATACTAAAAATACAAATACCATTTTCTATATATCTGTACAGTTAAACATAATTATTAAAACTACAGTATAAACATGAAATCTTTTGTAACCAGAAGAATATGGTTATAACAAAAAATAGTTTCTGACAAATAAGATTATGGTATAACTCAAAGTTACTATTATGTCACATTTGAGACATGTTTTGAAGAAAATCTGAAGTTTCTTATTCCATCAAGATATGTATTATATTACAATGATCCTTTAGCATTGTAAAAAATAATAATAATGTTTTTTGGGCAATTATTACTACTAAGTTTATACTTAAACTGCATTTTTCAAGTAGTCCAATCCTGCCTATAAAAGACAAGCATTTTACACACCCTCAAGGTGTTACTAAACCTAGCACATATGTACTCAATCTCTGGACAAACTAGAGGTATAAGGATCTAGTGTATGTGTAAGGATAGGTTGTAGTTACTTATTACAGTGTTGAGGTCAAAATGAAATACTTTACTATAGAAACATCTCTGGTAAGAAGGCTGATCAACATTTGGTTGGACTACTTCAACATGAAAGTTAAGATGTGAAGGTAAGTAAAGAAGTTAAAATGCATTTAACTAAGAAAAACTAAACAAAGTCAACTGGGAAATCAACTGAAAATAAAAAAGGATCAGCAGAAACAACAGTTATAAGGCTTATAAATACAAATGGGAGTCTTGGCTCACTCCAATCAAAGATGAAACACTCTCCTCATAGATCTTGTCTCTGAAAGCATTAAACCCACATTCTCTCTGAAGCTGACCAATCATAATAGAGAATGCAAAAATATCTCTGTTTCATGTGACAGCCTCAAGATAGAATACAATTCAACTATTCCATGATACAGCAAAGTTCCTACATCAGACAGTCTACAAACAGTAACACCTCAGGCCAAGTTTTATAGCACATGACCTCAACCATATTTAGACTTGTAGGAATTAAGTATACATTACAGGAAAATAGGGTATGTAGTATTTATGTACTTCAGCCCTTCTGTTTCACCAGCCCAGGAACTGATGACACAGCAGTGGTTGAAACACCATTTGTTCTATCACAGATAGACCCTGAAGAGCTCTGGATTGAGCAAAATGTGTAATTGTCAATGGATATAACAAATACAGTGCAGTTCAAATACTATTATTATACACTCTTCTAATTCTTGAAAATCCCTAAGGGACTAGATAAAAAATATAATATTTAAAAATGTAACAGGCCTGATATTAATGCCTTATGACAAGTTTAATTGTAATCATCTTCACCACCTTGTAAAAGGCACACACACGATAAGAATTTTTTTCGTACAATCTCATTGATTCTCTTTGATATTTAATTTGAAGGAAACGTTTTTGAAGTTTTTATGACAAAAAAAGGTTGGCCAAGTCTAAAAAATAAACCAGCTTTTCTGACTCACTTCTAACCAAGTTCCACTTCCCAAACCATACTTACACATTGTACAACCTACAACTATATGCTCCTACTGATTTCATTTCCAGAACATTATACAATAGTATACAGTACATGCATTAATGAAAGTTAAACATTGCTTACATGTACAGTGAAGAATAACATCACATTTCATCTTGCAGACATTTTTAAGCAAGAAGCAATATGATAACCCTTACTATTTAATGGGTATCATGACAAAAAAAAAAGTGTAACACTATATATTTATTTATGAAATAATCTGTTTCGTTGGTGATGCCGATAAAATAGACCAATTTCTGCACTGTTTAGAAAATGTAATTTATCAATATATTTCTTGTTATGCCTGTTTGATGGAACAAAGCTTAGCTTAGGTAGTCATACTTGTACATTTTAGACTCATTTAGAGTGGTGGTGTGTATGTGGACGGGGGGGGGGGGATTACATAAGACCACAAATCTTAGGATACTGTAAAGCATGTATTAGAATTATTACTAAAAAGTTGGTAACTACATGGCACCACATGGATTGGATTGCAAGTCACTATTCTTTGACATCTATCAAGTGCTAGTTCATCTTTAGTTACATTCTATTGTTGGTTTCATCGTGTGAGTTAGTGTGGCTTTTAAAAGCTGCAAACCTATAATATACACAAAGAAGTGATCTGAAAGAACATTGAAATCAGTAAATTTAAGGGTAACTCACAATTCTTGAATTTTAGAATTATCCTTAACACATTATACTACCTTTACTCCAAGATGCTACAAAAATATAGTACTAATGTTATAATAAAGTTTCAGAATATGATGAACCTTCCTTAGCATTTTAATACTAGATATAACCAGCCTCAAAATACTTCACTGGCCCAACACTTAAAATCACTTTAAGCATAAATATGGTTTGTTTAATAATGACACCAAGGCCTTATATTAGCATAATACGTGAAGCAAAATTGAAAAATACCTGAAAAATTAGCATCAAAGCTTGTACACTTATGTTGAAACTGACAAAATGTACCACACGATATATAGTGTCAAGCTGTTCTGTCAACTTGTTAGTGCTCTTGTCTTTTGTAGTATATGGATAACTTCTACTGACTCCAGACAAAAGAGCACTCATCATCTTGGTATCTACTTCTCCTTTCTTGACACAGGCTTTGAAAAATCCAAAATATATACTCTGTAGGTGGTCGGCAAGTAAGTTGTCTTCGGGACACAGAACCATCTACATCAAAGATAAGACTATGTGCATAATTCCAGTTGAGGAAGACTATGATACATTAATTTTTTTACCATAGGAATAACTGTCAAAAACTACCTACAATAAATCAGGTAGTATATTCTTTTCATGAACATAATGATCAAATTTTAAAAACAGCTTTTACAAAAATGGTAGAGTGGTAATATTTCATAGGAAATTTTATATATTAGCACATAGCCTTTCTATTTTCTGGTTAAATATTAGTATATAAAACACAGTTGAAATATGCTCAAATGTTTGGAATAGAACTTAAAAAGTATGTGATATAAACTTTATAACAGTATTGGGTAATGCAAAGTTACTCATTATGTCCACATGCCCATGTAAATGATATTGTAACATACAGATCAAGCATTTTTTCTTTCTTCTTCATTTACTGACAAGAATATTATTCAATGAAAATACAACACACCTTTAAAATATACAAATAAAACTTCATTTAAGTAAAACATGTAAAACTAAAACCTGATTAGTTTTGGGCACCTCTGATGGTGGCCACCTAGAACAATGGAAGCTAGTCTAGGTTTATTCTTTACCTGTTTTACTTTAGTAAAATTTTATCTGTGTGTTTTAAAGTTTCTTGCATTCCCATCACAATAAATTTATTCAACTTTTAGAAAAATATTATCGTTTAGCATAAATAACGATCAGTCTGTAACTGAGAGTTAATCAACACAAAAAACTTGTTTTCATTGAAAGGGCCATAAATTAGTGATATTTTCTTAAGCAACATTAGTAAAAAGTTGCCTTATACCAAACAAAAAAAAAATCAATCATCTGATAGTTTAAAATTTTTTTTTCCAGATGAAAACATTTGGTTTCTAAACCTGACCTTTAATATATTATAGATTTTATAATTTTGTGTGTGTGTGTGTGTGTGTGTGTGCTTTTTATAACAGAGCCACATCAGGCTATCTGCTGTGTCCACCAAGGGTAATTGAGCCCCTGATTTTACCATTTTAAATCCATAGACTTACTGCTGTCCCACCAGGGAACTTACAATTTTATAACTCATATCAACTTAGTAATTACAAGACACAAAAGTAAATGGTATAAAACTAGAAAATACTTTCACCTGGTTCAAAAAGCAGAGTGCATAGTACTGAGCACGTGAAGAAATGTTTGGACGATACAGAAGTCGTTCAACTTCCTCGGCTACTACTTTCTTCATGTTGGGATGAATACTTAAAAGATTACCTAGTAGGTGAGGAATTCTGGCTGCAACTCGATGCACTGGATCTCCAATTTTATTTACCAAACAGCTAAGTAGAAACTAGACATACAATTAAGTTAATGTATCAAACAAGTGTATAGTTATCCAATAATGTAATATTCTGATTGCTATAAAAATTTAGGTGATCTATGGTTGGAATTTTGGAAATAAACAGAATGGCACAGAAATGTACAACTCCCTTCTAAAAACATGCTACCTTTGAACCTTTTCCTCATTAAAAAATAGAGTTGAATATTTCAAAGGTATGGTTAAACTTTCACTTGTTAATCAGTCTTCACAGAATTCAAAACAAACTTTTTTAAGATAAAACGAAGTTTTATCTAAATTTTTAGCAGAAAACAAATATAAATACTAAGATTAGCACTTTATTACCCTAAGATTTCAATTTTTTTTTAATATCAGTGACTCCTATAGCTTTGATTTGGGAATGAGGATCAATAATCAAGAAAAACATGCACATGCAGTATGTCTAAAGTACTTACACAAGCTGGGTACTTTGTATTGGGAATGAGGATCAAGAATCAAGAAAAACATGCACATGCAGTATGTCTAAAGTACTTACACAAGCTGGGTACTTTGTATTGGGAATGAGGATCAAGAATCAAGAAAAACATGC